TCAGAAATCAAGAGGACCCTGCTGTTATGTTATACCTAAGGTCTTTGTGGTTTTGCTACAGAAAATATGGCTCCTGCACAGATTGTCCATAAGGTCTTGCTGAGGGTTCGTCAACTCTGGCTACCTACTGGGAACGGGCCACTAACTAACTTATAGCTTAGACCTCGTCCTCAATGTGACAAGTCTGAAGTTATTAGGAAAACAAAACAAACAAACAAAATCCCCAACTTCTAAAGACAAAAGTGTCATAAATTTCTGGGCCTCAGTGGTAAAATATATCTCTGATTCTCCTCCTTTTCTTCTTCTTCTTCTTCTTCTTCTTCTTCTTCTTCTTCTTCTTCTTCTTCTTCTTCCTCTTCACTTGACATGCAATGCTGACCTAGCACTTAGTATGTAGACTAGGCTGAGCTCAAACTTCCAGTTAGACTTTTTCATCTATTTTCCAAGAGCTGGGATCACAGACCTATTGAACTGTATTTGATCTCCTCTGATACCTTTTGGTACTATATATATTTCTGGTGTTAGGGATCGAACACCCAGGGCTTTGGGTGTGCTGAGTGTTCTGCTTACCAACAAGTGAGCCACACTTTCGTCGCTATTGTTGTTTTTGATGAGGTTTGTCTGGCTTTGTTTTGCAGGAACTTCCCAGCTTCTCACTCTGTTGTAAGGGGATGCCAGGTTAGGAACTAGAATCAGGAGACCTGCCAGGAAGTTAGTCAACTCTGAAAACCTTTGGCTCTGTGCAAGGTCTCTTACTTTTGCCTACGTGCTTAGGGAATCAGGTAGTAGTTTCAAAAACATATATATTTACATTTTAAAAATTAAAATATAATAATTTCTCCCTTCCCTTTTCTTCTTCCAACCCCTTCCATATATCCCTTCCTGGTTCCCTTTCAAATTCATGGCTTTTTTTCTTTGCATATTCTCATTACATATATCTATAAGCACATAAATACAACCTGCTGATCGGGAGGCAGAAGCAGGCGGATCTCTGTGAGTTTGAGTCCAGCCTGGTCTACAAAGGGAGTTCCAGGACAGGCTCCAAAGCCACAGAGAAACCCTGTCTCGAAAAACCAAAAGAAAAAAAAAATTCAACCTGCTGAGTTTCCTTAGTGTTGCTCTTACAGATGTGATTTCAGGGCTGACAATTTGGAATTGGATAAGCAGTTGGGGAGACTCAACTTCAGGGAGGACTAACTCTCCCTCTTTCAGGAGTCTTTAGTTGCCTGCAGGCTAGGGGTGGGGGGGCATGGCATCTTCCATGATGGCATCTCTATTGATATTGCCATCCTTCAGCTCCTGCTCAGGCATGCATACTGTTGAGGTGTCGTGGGTGTCCCTTCCCTGTCATTTCTAGAAGACAAGATTTCACAGCAGACTTCCTCCTGGTCCTCTGACTCTTCCACTCTTCCCACCTCCTCTCTCAGAGTCTGTATGGCCTGACCGTTATGTGCTACACAGGACAACATGGCTACATGAGGCTTTGTCTCAAAAACAAAATGAAGTAATTAAAAAAAACATAGGGACTAGACAGATGGATCCATAGGTAAAGGTGACTGCCACAAAGCTTGGCAACCCGAATTTGGTCCACAGAATCCACATGGTGGAAGGAGAGAACCCCACTCCGGAAATTGTGCTCTGATTTATACATATGCCTGGGACACGTGCAAGCATCCCTCTCCCAACAAACAGATAAATTCACGTAATGACATTTGTTGTTGTTAAAACAAGTAGTTCTTTCCTGGATGGAAAACAGGTGGGAAGAGCAGCATCGAGAGCAAGGAACCAATGATAAGGTTCTTGCTATAATGCAGATGAAAGAGGTTGGTGACTATGACGACGATATTAAGGAAGTGAATCTAACTGGATTTTTGCAGAATTCACAATCCGTTGCATTTGGATGTAAGAAGCAGGAGGATCAAGAATATCTTAGGCGCTAGTGGATGGCGATGCTACTTACTCCAGACCTGGAGCTTAGGACTCAGGCTGAATCCTGTGACGTTTATATTGGAGCTGTCCAGAGGGCAGCTGGGCAGTGGTACTCAGGAGGAAATCCAGGGTTGGATTATTATTAATGGAAATTTGATTTTACTCAAGGGGACTGTATAACCTCATGATCAGGGCAGGGAGCATGAAATTGGCTCATGGTAGAAGCAAATACTTGGATATATTTCTAATAATTTGACATTGAGATGAGGGAGTAGGATAATATAGATAACAAAAATGTCTGTCAAGGAAGCTACTTGGCATAAATGTACTCAGTAAAGTTCACTTTTGAGCGCTTTCCCATGTCCCTTTCCAGCGAGTGTCTGTAGAGCCCATGAACACATATGGAGAGAGAAATGTGAAACAAATCACACTTTTGCATCAGATAGAAGTGATGCGATGCTGGCTTACATCCCAAACGAATTACTTTGGGCCTTTCCAAAAAAACTGGTCCATAGGCTTATTCTCCAAATGTAGACACAAGTATCCTTAGGTATAAACAAATACCCGAGAAAAACATGTGCGGTGCAGACCTCCTTCTAGGGCAGTAGATCTGGAATTGCATTGAGACAGTGTTTTTTCTTCTCTACTGGAAAAGTGTGAGGGAGGATAGATCACGCTGTCTTACTCACCCCTCCCATCCCCACCGTTTTATGTCCCCCTCCCCTTTCTGCGTTATTCTGGGATTAACGCTGCGTGGTCCCCTACACAAACGCGGCTGGGCTGGTGTGGTCAGTCTGAGCCCTGCTGTGCAATCACGTCTGGAATTCCGGTAAATTGGCAACACTAATGCACAAAGGCAGCAACAATGAGGAAAACCCTTCAGCGCAGAAAGGAATGTTTGGATCCCTGGACCGCCACAGTGAAAGGACACACACACACACACACACACACACACACACACACACCCCATGCGCCTCAGGGCCGGGCTGACGTTCTCTGCAACCGGTTGAGGTGCAAGGACTCTGGATGATCATGCAATCTCTGGAAGGCTTCGAGCCTGCATTAGCCCAGCGCAGTCTTGTACCATCGTTCTGGAACAGGCATAAATCATCCGTTGAGACTGGAGCGCAGCACCGTGCCCCCTCACCAGTCCCCACCCTTTGTCCCCTTTACACGTCTACACTCCTCTAGTGTCTTTAATTCTTCCTCCTCTTGAGCGCCGCACAGCAGGAGACTTTGACCAATGCATCAAACTTTTATTTCCCAGTCCTGGACATCACTATTATCACAAAGCTGTTTTAAGTATTAATTTTTTTTATGTGTGTGTGTGTGTGTCTGGATTTACCTTCCCAAAGTAACAATTTGTCTCCCATCCCCAAACTCTGCCAATTTAAGCCACGCTGCTGTGGTCAGCAGAGGCCCAGACTATGCGTGCAAGGGCAGAAGAAGCCGGCAGTGACTGACAGGCTGTCGCTCCAGGGAGGGGGGTGGGGGGACCCTACTCCGGCACCACGTGGATAGCCGCCTCCTTACGTCACAGTCCTTTGCCTGAAGGAAATGACTCCTTGGATCCGGGCTCTACCGACCCGCTGTAGCTGCCGGGGCAAAAGATTTCGGGATGGTCTGAGCCCGGGAAACAGTCCGTACTCCCGCGGGACTCCCAGCGATCTCAATCGCACCAACTGGCTAGTCTCAGCGCCGCTGAGTCTCGCACAGCTGGGGACCATGGCCTGAGGGGCTCGCTTAAGGTCCACCCTCAGTTAACAGGTTCAGTGTGGCCCCCAGGGAACCGCGGGATCCCCAAACCCCTGATGTTTCATTACTGGCCTCACGGAGAAGACAGCCCCTCCTCCCAAGTTTTGTTCAAGGTGAACGGAACTGTAAGAGAAGCTATCTGGCTGTGACACCTGTAGATGTAGCGCTCTAGAGGCTAGATAGATATCGCCTCCACAGCAACGATAGAATCCCCCCACCCCCAACACAAGCAAACCCTTGAAAGCAGCCTGCATCATGTCAGGGAAAGCAGGGGCCCGAAGGAGCTTAGCGAGTTCAGGCCAGGGTTTGAAATTCATGGGACTCTCCAGCCCTTCTGTGCCTTTCCCTGGGTCGCTCTCTTCTTTTTTTTTTCTCCTCTCCTCTCCTCTCCTCTCCTCTCCTCTCCTCTCCTCTCCTCTCCTCTCCCTGTATCCCCCTCCTTTCTCGTCCTCTTCCTTCTCGTCTTCCTTCTCCAGAAAGGTTCTCTTTACCTTGCCCTGGCTGTCCTGTAGTTCGCTCTGCAGACGATACCCCCGCCTAGGTGCATCTAACTAGGGCTGGGAAGAAAAGCATGCCCCACCACACTCCCAGCTTTTTTTCTATTCCCTTCCCTTTTCATTGCTTTTCTTTCCTTTTTCATCTTTTCTTTTCTTTTTTTTTGTCGCTTCTCTTGACACCCGCGCCCCCCCCCATTTCCTTTCTATCTCCGTTCTCAAACTCTAGTAAAGTTTGTGTCGTTGGCAAATTTCTTCATTGGCCGTCTAGCCTGCCTGCATCTCTAGACAAATCTCTCTGAATGGCGAGGGCAGCGCTTACTCGTGTGTGAGTAGCGGTGATTGTCAGTGATTGAGTATGACTGTGGAATGTGCATGCGTGCGCGACTGAGGGGTATGAGCTCCCTAACTTGTGAGGCAGTGTGTGTGTGCCCGGTGCGTGAGCTCCTGGATGAGAACGTGCTCAAGCGTGCGCGCTTGTGGAGTGTGCATGTGCTATCGCGCAAGTGTTCGAGTGCCCACTCCTCCCAGAGTCGCAAAGTGCAGGGGGCGGGCCGGGCGGCAGGGGGCCTGGCCCATTGGATTCCCGCATGCTAGTTCCGGGGCGGTCTGGCCTAAAGCGCTTTATGCACAGTCTGGAGGGTGGGGACTGGCGCGGGTAGAAAACTGGTGCCTCAGGGATCCGGGCCGGCTTTCTGCCTCTAGCAGCCAGCGGAGTTGCTGAGCGAGACCCGCGATCCGCAGTGGAGTTGCTTCCTGTGCCTCCTGCGACGCGCGCCCACCTCCCGGGGAAGGAACGGCGAGGTCAGGGCGCTCTCCAGGATGGAGCGCCCGGCCGCGGCGACAGCGTGGATGCTGCTGCTGGCGATAGTTGCCTACCTGGCGCCAGTCAGTGGCCAAGGTAAGCGGCCACCTGCAGGAGCCAGGCGCGCTGCGCAGTCCACCCTAGGCTTTTCAGAGTGGAGCGGGGCGAGGGTGAGCGGTGGCGAGGTCGGCCGGGCTGAGCGCTCCGGTGACCCTAGGAGTGATAAACGCAGCGCGGTTCCTCTGCTGGCTGGGGAACGCGGTCTCAGACTTCTGTGACAGCTCACCCCTCGGCGATTGCGCCTTTGTTCCCACGGGAATTAGTCCTGGCCCTCACCGCTTTTCAGGCTGGAACCTGGAGAATGAGGGTCTCCCGCGTGGGTCTGCAGCTTTCTTCTAGCCGGGGCGGGGCCGGTCCGACACGCAGCTCCCAGCGCAATTTTCCACCTGCAGCTTCCGACCGGCGCGGGAGATCCGATCCCGTTGCGCGCCCGGGGCGGTTGGCCAGAGCCTCCCTTCCAGCAGTGACGAAACTCCGTCCCGCGGTGACCCCCTTGAGACCGCAGCTCTTGATACCGATCACTTACGAAGCCAGATAAGGCCGGGAGGTGGGATTGGCAGAGAAAGCCACTGATACACTAAGTACTTTCTTGAGGGCTTTCCCTTTCCTACCCAGAGCGGGTGCTTTTGTGTTGATGAATGGAGCTGGTTTGCTGCGCCGGAGTTTTGGGGCTGGAATGCGGAGAGTTTCTAAGGTGCCTACAAACTTTTTCAAGTTGTCTGGGAGTTAGAGCCCCCCGCGAAACAGAGCAAAGAGAAAGAGAGGAGTTCAGAATAGAAAAGTATAAGAGAAGAAAATGAAAGACAAGCTAAAAGAAATAAGAGGACTGAAGAGCGAATGAAGAGAGAGAGAGAGAGAGAGAGAGAGAGAGAGAGAGAGGAGAGAGAGAAACCCTGGAGCTCTTTCCCTGGCTTTCGTTGCTAGGTAGCAGCCTGGAGCTGCGTGTGACCGACCACCAGACAGACAGAGTGGACGCTGCTGCCACCCCAGGGACTAATCTGTCTGTGGGGATGGGCCAGTCCCCCCTTTCCCCTCCCTCTTTTTCCCCCGACCGACAACTTAATTGCCCCACAATAAAAATGAAACCCCTATTGTTGCAGGATTAGTCAAAGCAATAAATTGATTTCCCTAGATCACATATTGGGGGTTGATGGGTGAGGACTGTGGAAGCCCCCATTTATAGAGGCGAGAGGGGAGGGTTTGTGGATGGGCCGTGGCATGTATTCAAATGGTTAATCTGCTTCCCCCCCCACCTCAATTCTTAGCATAAGCTCCTTAGAGGGAATCAAGTAATTATACAGCACTCCGAGCAGCACCCATCTCAGACTTCCTGGGAAGTTTGGAAGAGCCAGGCTTGCAAAAATCTTTCGAAAGGGAGGGGTGGGTGGCAGGAGAAGAGGACTAACAATTCTTGCTTTGAACATCTTTCTGAAGTATTGGAAACCTAGAAAAGGGATTTACTGTTATTGTGTGTGTGGGAGGTAGGGAGAGTGCACAGTGTTTAGGGTTATATATCATGCACTGAATATAGCCCCAGTGTTTAGTGTACTTTTTTGTCTCTGTGTGGAAAGTTTCTATCCAAAGTGTAATATCCAAAAAGCTGGGAAGGATTCTGCAGGTCTTTAAGCAGATGTGGTAGTGTAATGTTCACTTAACATGGCTAAGTTCTTCAGGCTTCCCCCACTCCCCACACAGGAAGCCCTGACGGACCTCGAACTTTGTAGATCTTATTGGTCTGGAACTCAGCTCAGCCTGCCTCTGTCTCCTGAGTGCTGGGATTAGGTGTGCAATGCCGGGAGTCCCTCAGGCTTTGAAGAACCCAAGTCTCATCATTCTTTGTCTTGATAATTGATTATTTTTATTAATATTTTTTTCATGAGCAAGTGTGTCTCTGTGTTTAGTCCAGACTGACCTGTAGTCACTGCTGGTTGTGATCCTCCTGTCTCAGCTTCTTGAGTCAGGTTTAAAGAGTACACTGCCATACCTGGCAGAACGCTCAGATTAGAGAACTACTCAGGTGACATAGTGAGAATGTCCCGGTATGTATGACCATAGGGAGGTAAATTATGTAAAATACTTAGCCCAATGAAGAGAAAAATAGACGATGAAAATAAACTAGTGGCTTGTCTTTTATTTGTCAACATGTTTTCAAAGACACAGAAAAGGATTTTTTTTTTAAAAAAACTTGTATTCATGTATGTGGGAGTGTCCGTGCCTGTGGAAGAGAATGTGAATCCCGGGATCCAGCTCTAGTGGCCAGGCTTGGTGGCAAGCACCTTTACCTGCTGCTCAGACAATCTTGAACATTCTCCACTCTTTGAGGATTCCCTAGACCTTAGGATGTATTTTGAAATGATTTCTTTTCTTCTCTTTTTATTTTTTAAGAATCTATTATCCATCTTAAATTGACATTCTTTAATCTGATACAGTTCGGTTATTGGCTTAAACTTTTGTGGCGATGATCCATTTAGTGGGACCTGTAATAATCAAGGCTGCATATTTTTGGTCCCTCACCTGCCTCTGAAACCTTATTTACTGTTGTAATTATGTCAGGGTGGTTTCTACTTCTGCTTGCATTGCTTTCAGGTTTTAATAGGCTTCTGTCTCCACTCTTCAATCATCTTGGAATGGAAGCATCTGTAGCTGGAAGGAATCTTAGGGATCTAAGTCTGATGGGTGGTTAACCCAGCAGGGAGGAGCTGAGGAAAGCGTGGAAAGAATGGGGTTAAGTTCCTGGCCTAAGGGCAATGTAATCTGTGATAGAGCCCAGATGGAGTCAGTTTCTCTTTGTTTATCTCCTTTTTTAGATGTCCCCCACCCTCTTTGGTTGAGACTTTTAGATTCCTTTCTGGTGAACCACGCTTATCAGATGAAGCAGAGAAAGACAAGTAGATGACCTTGGCAGTCTTTACTGAGATTGAAAGAGGTTGTAGCGGAATGTCGTGGGGCCAAAGAGGAATCCATTAAAAGGTTAAGGTAAACTCAGGACCTCAGCTTCCAGCTTGGTCTAGAACTTATGCCACATCAGTGCCCCAACATCTTCAGATCCTTTTTGTAAATTTTTGGGGCATCAATGCACATTCCTGAAGATCTTGGCGTTTTGTTGTGTGGACTGCTGCAGAACTGAAGTCTGGGGAATTATTAGGTCCTGGTTAATAATCACTGGTTCTAGACAAGCACTTTGAGAACACTGGCCTAGCTGGGTGGTAGTGGCACATGCCTTTAGTTGAATCTCTTTGAGTTCAAGACCAGCCTGGTGTACAAAGCAAGTTCCAGGACAGGCTCCAAAGCTACACAGAAAAATCCTGTCTCTTAAAACAACAACAATAATAACAAAACCATCGGCCTGGCCGTTGCACATACCTTTAATCCCAGCAGAGCTAAGCAGTAAAGCCAAAAAACAAGAAACAAACAACAACAACAAGCATTGAAGTTTAAAAATTTTTGAATGCAATTTTATTATATTTAAAAATATTGACATCTAGAACCTACTTTACAGTATTTTAAAAAAACATTCGTTGTCATTGACTTTAGCTATTAAGTCTTATCAGCTAAAACAGGGTAACAAGCAATTATAGGGTACTTAGGAAATGCTCATTTCTTCATTCTGGCTCTAGGATCAAAAGCTGGGGCTTCTGCACAAGAGGCATTGCCCTGCCTCTGGCTACATGTGCCCCCAGGCCACAAATAAGTGAAGCCAAAACAAGGGAGCCAGGTGTGGTAGGGTGCTTTTTTTTTTTTTTTTTTAACTTTTCAAGACAGGGTTTCTCTAGGTTACAGTCCTGGCTTTCCTGGAACTCACTCTGTAGACTAGGCTGGCCTTGAACTCAGATATCCTGCACTCTGCTTTCCAAGTGCTGAGTTAAAGGCATGCGCCACCACTTTCTGCCTTCCTGGTTATTTTTTGAGACAGGGTCTTACAATGTATGTAGTCTTGGCTGGTCTGGCATGCACAGCTACCTCTCTGTGCTGTGTTTAAAGGCAGGAGTTGGAGCATGTGTTTTAATTCCAGAAGTAGGGAGGTAGAGGCAGTGGGATCAGAAGTTCATGTCTAGCTTCAGCTAAATGGGGAATTCCAAGTCAGCCTGGGCTACATGAGACCTGTCTTCCAACTGTACATTCTTACTACACACACACACACACACACACACACACACACACACACGGATTCTGAGTGTGAGTGTAGAACATCTACAAACACACCAGTTGTCCAGCTCTGCTCTAGAATGGAGAAAACGAGATGGAGGAAGCACTCATTGGTACAACTGGAATGGCTTTCATATTAACTTTAAAGCTGAAGAGATTAAAAGGAATTGATGCTACTGAGATGCCTTACAAACCCATAGCGTGTAGGTGAGCTGGTAGCCACTGTACTGCTCTGAGATGGTCATTCTCTGGTTCCCGGCTAGCCCTCCCAGGACCTCGCTGGTTTAAGGAAGATTGGAAATACTTCTATGTCAGCTTTGGATTTCTATTTGAAAATGATTGGTAGTGGTTTGTTTTGAAATGCCAAGTTTGCTTTAGTGTTCTGTAGAGGTCCATGAGGATGTGGGCGGTGCTTGGGATTTTGGATTAAGACTCTTGGTTTGAATCCTACTTATTTTTTTTTTCTTATTACCGAAGAAAATCAGTGTTCCTGCTTGAGGAGCCATGATTCACTCTTGTCTATAAATTGGGCTTCCATTCACATCCACTTCAGAGTGGTTGTACAGAGTAAATTAGGGAAATAGCTAATAGACAGCGTCTACTAGCATTAATTTGATTACATTTCAATGGCTTTTCTTAACTGTTTTTTTAAATGTTTATTTATTTATTATGCATACAATATTCTGTCTGTATGTATGTTTGCAGGCCAGAAGAAGGCACCAGATCTCATTACAGATGGTTGTGAGCCACCATGTGGTTGCCGGGAATTGAACTCAGGACCTTTGGAAGAGCAGGCAATGCTCTTAACCACTGAGCCATCTCTCCAGCCCGGCTTTTCTTAATTGTAAGCTTATCAGACAATTGATCCCCTTACCCAGGGGAAGAGGTGC